CTTCTATATAGTAACAGAGGGACACGAGGTCTCTCAGTCTTAGTCCTGTCTTGGCTTGGCTCTGTACAACGATGTAACTCTCCCATCAGAAGTCCAGCAATTACCATCTGCTGTTGAATGTCTATAATCCTGTAACATCATTTATTATGCTTTATTATGTATCCGTAACAAAGAATAAACCGGAAGAAACCGTAAGTCAGATTGCGTATTACTACTTTTCAATAATATAGACATATATTATTGTGGCGAGCATTTGGCCCAAGATTATATATACAAAAGACGTATATATATATCAATCAACTGAAGATAAGAAGAAATTAAGAATCATCAACATTGAACATCCATTCATCTACATTTTTTACATATATCTATATACATTTATTTATTTATTTATTTATTTATTTATTTATAAAATATTTTACCAGGAAAGATACATTGAGATTTCTCTCGTTTTCAAGTATGTCCTGGGTCCACAAATCATTGCATTGTTACATTAGGTACAACAAAATACAAAAACAATATTAATACACAATATATACAAAATTTAACATAGAACAGGCAGGAAATATATAATCAACCATGACACGTGCATTCTGTTTTGAGGTATGTAGAGAGGGATCTCTTAAAAGACTTTAGGCTTAGGGAAGATTTTAAATTGTGCGGGAGGTCGTTCCACAATTGCGGCGCTCTGTAGGAGAAGGAGGATCGGGCCGCTTTCTTTTTGTATTGAGGTAGACTAAGTAAAGTGCTTGTACTGGATCGGAGGTTATAGAAAGTGGGAACAGCTGGGGAAAGCATTTTGTTCAGGTAGGGTGTGAGTTTACCAGAAAAGCTCTTAAAAACAAGGCTGGAAAGATGAAGGGTGCGTCTGGATTCCAGCGACAGCCAGTTTAGTTCCTTTAGCATGTCACAATGATGGGTCCTGTAATTACATTGTAGCACAAATCTGCAGAACGAGTTATACAATGTGTTGAGTTTATTAATGTGGGATTGCGATGCAGATGCATATACTACATCCACATAATCAATGATTGGCATCAGCATTTGCTGTACAATCTTTTCCTTTACTGTAGGGCTTAGGCAGGCTTTGTTTCTGTACAGGGCACCTAATTTTGGATAAAGTTTAGATGCAAGCTTTTCTATGTGCAGGCCAAAAGATAGATTGGGGTCTAACATCATACCCAAGTATTTGAAAGAGTGGACCGCGGTCAGTGTGCCATTTGAATTTGTTTTGATGGATAGGTGGGGATTGTGTAATTTGTGTAATTTAGGTACCGTTCCAAAGATCATTGTGACAGTTTTGTCAGTGTTCAGGAAGAGTTTGTTTTTTGCGATCCACTTTTCTACCTCTGTAAACTGGTCTTGGAGCAAAACCTCAAGTTGAGGTAGATTGGATTTGCTCGCATAGATTACCGTGTCATCTGCGTACATGTGTACATTTGAGGATTGGCAGACATTAGGCAGATCATTTATAAATAATGTAAATAGTAGGGGGCCGAGAATGGAACCCTGGGGAACACCACACGTGACCGGGAGAGGGAGGGAGTCACTGTCAGAAATGGACACATATTGCGAGCGATCCGATACATACGATCGAAACCAGTTTAAAGAATGATCACCAATACCTGAGTTTTCGAGTTTGTGCAGTAGAATGTCGTGGTCTACTGTGTCAAAGGCCTTAGCAAAATCAAGGAAAATAGCTCCAGTTAGGGCTCCTTGTTCCAAGCCAGTTTGGATGTCATTGCAAACTTTTAGGAGGGCAGTTGTAGTGGAGTGATTCTGGCGAAAGCCCGATTGATCAGGGGTCAGATAGTTTAATTGTTGGTAGTACTCACAAAGTTGCGTATTGACACATTTTTCTAAGATTTTTGACAATACAAGGAGCAATGATATTGGGCGATAGTTAGAAACCAAAGTAGTGTCACCACTTTTATGGATAGGCACTACTCTCGCAGTCTTCCAAAGTTTGGGTATGTATCCAGACACCAATGATTCGTTAATTAGAGTTGAGACGGGTTTAGCAATTGCCGGTGCACTGAGCTTCAACAGCATTGCTGGGATTTGACCAGGTCCGGACTGGTTTTTCATTTTTAGATTATTAAGATGTTTTTTAATGACACTAACAGGTACAGGTCTAAAATTAAACTTATCTATATTGGGCCTTTGCAAATTTAGTGGTGCCTTATCCACATTTGTAGTTTCAGAATGCGTGTCATTTATTAGCTTGGCAATCAGGGCAGTAGAGCATCCGACAAAATAATTGTTAAAGGCATTTGCTACATCTAAGGGAAGTTGCAGGGTTTGGTTACCCACTTTGACAGTGGAGGGTTGGGAGTGGATTGGGGGAGCTTGTAGTTTATTAATGACTTTCCAAAAGTTTCTAGGGTTTGAGATGTTACTGTTCAGATTTTCATAGAAATATTGGGCCTTGGCCAGTTTTGTCTGTTTTGTGCATATATTTCGCCATTGTCTATATGCACCGTGATCATTCATAGAGCCAGTATGCTTAAATTTTGACCACAAAGAATCCCGAAACTGGTACATTTGGATGAGGTCAGCTGTGATCCAGTTCATATGCGCTCCTTTTACCCTCACCTTACGCAGCGGGGCATGCAAATTCCAAATTTGTAGGAGTTCAGACTGAAAGTATTCAACAGCACAGTCTAGATCTGGGATAATGTTTAATCTGTGCCATGGGAGATTCTTGATGTCATTTAAAAAGGATTCAAGATTAAATCTTTTGAAGGACCTAGTTATTTTAACCTTGGGAGAGGATTTAATAGCCTTTATTTTGCGCACGCAGTACACTAAACAGTGATCACTGAACGTGTTTGGGAGAACACCAGCCTCCTGGATTCTATCAGGAGAAGTGGAGAGAATCCAATCTAGCAGGGTATGGTTATGGCTTTTTATGTTTATGCGAGTTGGGGAGGAGATTAATTGCGTTAGCTGCAAAGTCTTAAACAGCGTGCAAGAACTGTATATATATATATATACCTATATATATACCTATATATAACATATATATATTTTTTTTTAATTCTACATATATATTTATGTAATATGTTTACATAATTAAGGCATTTTATTAATTACAATTTGCGGGACCTGCCTGATAACCCAGACAGAAAATACAGAGAATTTAATTTTTTTGCACTATATTTAACCCTATAACTTTCCAAGACACCATAAAACCTGTACATGGGGGGTACTGTTTTACTTGGGAGACTTTGTTGAACACAAATGTTAGTGTTTAAAAACAGTAGAATGTATTACAATGATGATATCATCAGTGAAAGTGACTTTGTTTGCATTTTTCACACACAAACGGCACTTACACGGACGATATAATTCTTGTGATAAGTTTTATGGTTTTGGAAAACTAATCTTTGTGTTCAGCGAAGTCTCCGAGTATAAAAGTACCCCTCATGTACATGTTTTATGGTGTTTTCAAAAGTTATAGGGTTAAATATAGTGCTTAATTAAATTCTCTAGACTTTCTGCCTGGGTTATCAGGCAGGTCCCGCAAATTGTAATTAATAAAATAACCTAATTATGTAAAACTATTACATAAATACCTGTATATACGCAGATTTAAAAAAAAAAAATATATATATATATATAATTTTTTTAATTCTTTTTATTTAAAAATAGATATATATATAGTGATATATACATATATATTTATGTATATAGATATATATATTATTTTGTTCAAAGTGTATTTTGATATCAATATATATATATTACTATCAAAAACATTTAGAACAAAATTACACATATATATATTTTTTATTTATTTTTTATTTTATATTTTTCATTTTTAACGTATTTATATATTTATTTATTTTATATTATATATTTATAATTATATATATATATTTAATTAATATCATTCTACGTTTTTTTTTTATATATTTATATATATATATATATTAATATTAAAGTACAATCACACAGTGTATGTGTATGTGTTTATATATATATACTTAGATCATATATATATATATGATCTAAGTATATATTATTTTATTTTAAATTGTGTCTAAACTTTATTTTAATTTATTACAGGCACTCCCCCTGCTGGCACTGCAGTGGAGGGCTATTCCATCCATGTGATCATAAGGTCCTCACAAGGACCTCGCGATCACATGGCCCAGGAGGGCCAGATTGGTAGCAGGGGAACTCCCGGGGATGCCAGGTAAGTTCCCCTATTGCGATCGCCAGCGTGGGATTGCTATGCAATGCCGTCGGCGTTTAGAGCCAGGTCCCCAAAGGCAGCATAGCACGCCCGCCGTCCTTAAGGGGTTAACTCCTACAGGGCAGAGAATTAAGCAACAGCATAATCTTTATATCAAAACTTAATCATAATGCTAAAGTTGTTTTGTTGATTAGAACTTTCAAATTGTTTGAGCGAACATGACATTAGCGATTAGCAGCAACAGAAAATATACTGTTTCATATATTTCAGGTCTATGACTTAACAAATATCTCAATTCTCAAGCTCAGATATGGAGATTTGGCCACACTGTGTTAATTTAAGATAAACATATAATATGTGTGAAATAGCCATACTCTAAATCAGAATCCCTTTACTAACTCTACATTTTTCTTACTTGAGACTGTGAATATGTCTCCTGGAAAGATTTGAAATTGTATTATTGTGTATTTTTGTGTATTTTGAACAAATTGAGGTCATTTTGGCAGCGCTGCTATTAAATAATGCATGTTCTGGATAGCACATCCCAAAATCTACTTTTTCTCTGACCCAGACATATTAGCTGGTGCAACTGTAAGCAAACAAGCAAACATAGACAATTTTCAGCGGACATTCATTACATTTTCTGTAGTTCTTCTCTGTACAGAATTACCCATCAAAAATAATGTAACAATGAGGCAGAAAACATTGAAATTCTAATTCTTTCAAGGACAGACGAGAAAATTCCTGCGTCATACAAAACGCCTGCTACTAATAGTGTCTCTGCTGTAACTGCAAATACGTACAATCAAACTACAAAATAGTACTAAACCTATTAGTGGTGAAAAAAAGATTTAATTTTATTCTTATGTAAAGTCTGCTATCATCTACAGATGTAAGCTACACGATGCATTGTTTGATCCAAGAACACAGTCATTTGCTACGTGTCTATTAACCCCTTAAGGACTGGACTGTTTTTGCGATGTTGTACATTTGCAATCAGGCCTCTTTTTACACTTTTGTGGTGTTTGTGTTTAGCTGTAATTTTCCGCTCTCTCATTTACTGTTCCCATACAAATTATATATTGTTTTATTCAGGACAAAAGGGGCTTTCTTTACATACCATAATTTATATAATCTCATGTATTTTAATTTAAAAAAAATAAAAAAATATGATGAAAAGTTTTTTGAATTTTACTTGAAAAATCTTTTACTCATCTACAAAAGCCAATGAAAAAAACTGCTAAATAGATTCAAAATTTTGTCCTGAGTTTAAAAATACCCAGTGTTTACGTGCTTTTTTTGCAAGTTATAGGGCTATAGGCATAAGTAGGATATTGCAGTTTCAAAACATACATTTTTAAAATTTATCAATAGTGACATTGTAACACTATTATCTGTCATAAATCTCTGAATAACACCCCACATGTACATATTTTTTTTAAAGTAGACAACCCAGGGTATTCAATATGGGGTATGTCCAGTCTTTTTTAGTAGCCACTTAGTCGAAAACACTGGCCAAAGTAAGCATTCATATTTGTTTGTGTGTGAAAAAAGTAAAAAAACTAAATTGAACGCTAATTTTGGCCAGTGTTTGTGACCAAGTGGTTACTAAAAAAGACTGGACATACCCCATTTGCAATACCTTGGGTTGTCTTCTTTTGCAAATGGTATGCCATCATGGGGGTAATTCTCATTCCTGGGCTACCATACGCTCTCAAAGGCAACGTAACCAACCTGGCCTTTTTCAATGTAAAAATATTTGACCCATATATTTGACCCTGTAACTTTCAAAAACGCTATAAAACCTGTACATGGGGGGTACTGTTATACTCAGGAGACTTTGCTGAACACAAATATTAGTGTTTCAAAACTGGAAAACGTATCACAACAATTATATCATCAGTAAAAGTGCTGTTTGTGTGTGAAAAATGCAAAAAAAAGTCACTTTCACTGACAATATCATCGCTGTGATATTCTTTACTGTTTTGAATCACTAATATTTGTGTTCAGCGAAGTCTCCTGAGTAAAACAGTACCCCCCATGTACAGGTTTTAGGGTGTCATAGAAAGTTACAGGGTAAAATATAGTGCTAGCAAATTAAATTCTCTGGACTTTTGGCCTGGGTTGGCAGGCAGGTCCCTCAAACTGCAATCAATAAAATTACTTAATTATGTAAAAATATTACATAAATACACACGTAGAATTTAAATATATATGCATATTTATATATTTGAAGTCTACGTGAATATTTATATGATTATTTATGTAATTTTGTATATGGACATATGTATATTTCGTATTATTTTTATATATATATATATATATATATATATATATATATATATATATATATATATATATATATATATATATAATACACAAGATCCAGCGCACTCACCTATCCACTAAACAGCAACTTCAATGTTGAAAGATTTTATTTGTTTTTTTTAAAAACACCTAATCTAGGCAAAAATAATGGGGGTTTAGTTACATTATATGATCATACATTGCATAAGCCTGCCACAACGTCAATGTACCCCATCTTTGGCAGGTCCTACACTAACAGCCTAATGTCTGCTCTTATGAGATTAACCTACTTGGGGAAAAAATTCCATCTGGGGCTCTCTGCAGTACAAGGCTAAATAGGGCCCTGGGATGAGGCACCTGTGACAGGGAGGGGTGCAAAACCAAGGAGTTGGCTAGACTCCCAAATATATATAAAAAACAAGAGGGGGTTGGCTGCACTCACCTTAACATGCATAAATGGGGGTGCTGCTGGGGGCCAAATAATACAATACACAAGATCCAGCGCACTCACCTATCCACTAAACAGCAACTTCAAAGTTGAAAGATTTTATTTGTTTTTTTAAAAACACCTAATCTAGGCAAAAATAATGGGGGTTTAGTTACATTATATGATCATACATTGCATAAGCCTGCCACAACGTCAATGTACCCCATCTTTGGCAGGTCCTACACTAACAGCCTAATGTCTGCTCTTATGAGATTAACCTACTTGGGGAAAAAATTCCATCTGGGGCTCTCTGCAGTACAAGGCTAAATAGGGCCCTGGGATGAGGCACCTGTGACAGGGAGGGGTGCAAAACCAAGGAGTTGGCTAGACTCCCAAATATATATAAAACAAGAGGGGGTTGGCTGCACTCACCTTAACATGCATAAATGGGGGTGCTGCTGGGGGCCAAATAATACAATACACAAGATCCAGCGCACTCACCTATCCACTAAACAGCAACTTCAAAGTTGAAAGATTTCATTTGTTTTTTTTAAAAACACCTAATCTAGGCAAAAATAATGGGGGTTTAGTTACATTATATGATCATACATTGCATAAGCCTGCCACAACGTCAATGTACCCCATCTTTGGCAGGTCCTACACTAACAGCCTAATGTCTGCTCTTATGAGATTAACCTACTTGGGAAAAAAATTCCATCTGGGGCTCTCTGCAGTACAAGGCTAAATAGGGCCCTGGGATGAGGCACCTGTGACAGGGAGGGGTGCAAAACCAAGGAGTTGGCTAGACTCCCAAATATATATAAAACAAGAGGGGGTTGGCTGCACTCACCTTAACATGCATAAATGGGGGTGCTGCTGGGGGCCAAATAATACAATACACAAGATCCAGCGCACTCACCTATCCACTAAACAGCAACTTCAATGTTGAAAGATTTTATTTGTTTTTTTAAAAACACCTAATCTAGGCAAAAATAATGGGGGTTTAGTTACATTATATGATCATACATTGCATAAGCCTGCCACAACGTCAATGTACCCCATCTTTGGCAGGTCCTACACTAATAGCCTAATGTCTGCTCTTATGAGATTAACCTACTTGGGGAAAAAAATTCCATCTGGGGCTCTCTGCAGTACAAGGCTAAATAGGGCCCTGGGATGAGGCACCTGTGACAGGGAGGGGTGCAAAACCAAGGAGTTGGCTAGACTCCCAAATATATATAAAACAAGAGGGGGTTGGCTGCACTCACCTTAACATGCATAAATGGGGGTGCTGCTGGGGGCCAAATAATACAATACACAAGATCCAGCGCACTCACCTATCCACTAAACAGCAACTTCAATGTTGAAAGATTTTATTTGTTTTTTAAAAACACCTAATCTAGGCAAAAATAATGGGGGTTTAGTTACATTATATGATCATACATTGCATAAGCCTGCCACAACGTCAATGTACCCCATCTTTGGCAGATAGATATATATACAGTTAGAATAAAATTTCATATAGATATATATTTTTTTAACAGTTTTATTATTATTTTTACATGTTTTTATTTAATTTAAATTACTTATTATTTGTATTTTATAATAATATTTATATACAATATATATAGTTATTATATATATTATATATGTACGTGTGTAATTTAATTATAAGTGTATTTTTATATTAATATATGTACATATTAATATAAAAATACACTTAGTATGACATTATATATATGATATATACACATATATTATATCGATATAATATATGTCTATATATCATATATATATATACACATATATAATTATATATTTTTTATTAACATGTACCTTTATTTTTTTTAATGATTTTACACTAGCAGGGAGACTGCCTGTCAGCACAGGCAGTCCCCCTGCAGGCAGACCCTAGGACACGTATTGTGACCATGTGATCGCTCTGTTGAGCAATCACATGGCCCCAGGGATCCTAATCTGCCATGGGGAGACTGTCTGGGCTGCAGGCAGTCTCCCCACAATGGGAGCACCGCCGATCGCCGCCGGGGGAACGACGGCGGTCGGGTAAGTACATTGGACCGTTAGGACGGTTCAGGACCATCACCAGTCGGCAGCGCAAAAATGCCAATGACGGTCCTGAACCGTCCTCGGTCCTGAAGGGGCACTGTAGGTACTATAACTATTTCATCTCATGGAATTGGTTATAGTGCTTGGATTCCCCTGGCGCTGTACCTCCATTTGGTTTTAAAACATTTTCGAGCAGTTTAACACTGAGTTAGAGTCCCTGACTTCACATAGCCCCGCCCCTACTCGGAGTGATGTTAAGACAGAGATTACATACTTCCTTCTAGCATTACCAATTTATACCAGCAATGTGCACTGTGATAGGTGGAAAACAGTCCGCTGACATACTCATCCAATCATAACCTTCCACTGCTACTCAGGCTATAACTTCCTTATTAGACCAAGCAGCAAAAAGGAGATGGCTGCTGGGGTGCCTCTCGTTTAGAATTAAAACATTACAAAACCTTTTAAGGCTGAATGGAAGGACGATGCCAGGGGAGATGAAGCATTTTTAGGTCACAGTGCCCTTTAACAACACTTGCCTAAGTCACATGTGCCATGGGTGTAATTAGCCCACGACACACAAGTGCAGATTGCTTTGTATGTGCAGCATATACAATAAAAACATTGCACATACAGATTCTTCAAGTTATAGTTAGTACCTAAAACTCATGCTAAATAATGAAACCCCCACTTACATTCTCCCAGGTATGTCTGTATCATCCATAAACACATAGTAATGTTCAATATAAAATGAACTCTCGTCTATTGGTTCAGGAAACTATTCATTAATATATGGCCAATGAACTAAGCCAAACATCTTTCTCTATCTCCTTTAGAAGGTCCCAATTGATAAAATGATCATGTCCCATTGCTCTTTGAAGAACATCATTGATATTAATCTTCATTTTCATCGGTTGCTTTATGGTAATGATAAAATGAAATCCATTGCCAAATGGCACTGTTCCAAGACAGCTCAGCTATTGATTTAAAGCAATTGAGCTGGTCTTCATAGAATCGATGACTTCCCAGGGTTTAAATAAAAATGTAAAAAGTTGTATTTGTGTTATTTTATGTATAAAGTTGCAATGTTGTTGAAGTGAAAGTCGTTAAGTCGATATGAATAGAAGGATACGATTTTCCTCGCCTGGCTCACAGAAATATCTCATATAAATATAGAAATCGTTATCTACATGAATGATG